TTGCAGCTGAGAAACCCCCTCCCAAGCCCCGTGGCAGAAAACCAAAACCCGAGCGTGTCCCGACCAGCTCCAGCAGCGAGAGGTGAGATCAACTGGGACACTGTCACCCTCGGGGCTGGGCTGGAGGGTCACCCACCTCCCCTCCACACAAGGGGTCCAAGCGTCCTCTGTCCTTTGCAGTGATAGCGATAGCGACGTGGACCGCATCAGCGAGTGGAAGAGGCGAGATGAAGAACGACGGCGGGAACTGGAGGAGAAGAGGAAGAGAGAGCAGGAGGAAGAGATCCGTCGGCTCCGGGAGCAGGAGAAGGAGGAGAAAGAGAAGAGGAAGGAGAAAGTGGAGAAGGGTGAGGAGGTGCACTCAGACTCAGACAGCAGCGCAGAGGATGAAGTGGCCAAAAAGGGCCGTAAAGGCCGGGCCAAGGCCCCGTCCTCCTCGGACTCTGAACTGGAGCTGGAGAAGGAGGTGAGTGCAGAGCTGTGGGGACAAACAGAGCACCCATCACCTCCCTGTCAGGTCAGCAGAGACCTCCAGGAGTGGCAGGGACCCCGCTGTCTTGGTCTTGTGTTACCCTGGGGTTGCCCCTGCAGCACTGGGAAGGGCTGTGGCCATTGACACATCCGTGCTTTGCAAATGGGAGCTCTTGCCCTGGCCCGGGACACCCCATCCGGCTGTGGGTCTCGCATCTCTGTGCTGCTCTCCACCCCACCACAGTTGTCAGATTTGCTCCGCCGTCCTTGCCGGAGCCTGGGGGAGCATCAGCCAGATTCGGCTGAAGCACGGGGAAGGGTTGCAGAGGGTTCTTAGGAACCACACTGCCCGTGGTCAGAGGTGAGGTCCTCCCTTTTAGCCTGGCGAGTTCCTCCCTGTGAAGAGGGACCAGGAAAGCAGCACAAAGATCTTGAGGTCTGGAAGGAGGTGCGAGTCTGCCAGTTGGGTACTGCAGGCTGGGTGGGCCACTTGAGATCCCAGGATATTTGCTTTTGGAGCAGCACATCGCTGTGCTGCAACCCGAGTCCTTTTTTATCCTGTGTGGGAGTGCCCCTGCACCCAAACCGACTCATGGCAGGATCGTGCCCGGCCGTGGCACTGTCTCCATCCCGCAGCGGGGAGGACTCTGCCGATCTCGCCTGCATTGTTCTCTCCTCCAAGGTAAAGAAGCCAGCAAAGAAGCAGCCCTCGGAGTTGTCAAGGAAACCAAATCAGAAGGAGAAGAGGGGCCGAGCAGAGGAGAAACCACGGAACAAGTCAGCATCTCTCCTCCCCGCATCTGTGCTTTCTTCCTCTGGGGACAGGGCTGTTCCTCTGCTGCTGCCCAACTCTCCCTTGCTGACACCCCGGGGTGGGGATGGGGCTCCTGTGGAGCTGCCCCTCAGCCCACACCACCCGTGGAGGGGTTGGGCTATTACCTCCCCTCTGTCTCCTGGAGCTGAAGGGGCTGGAGGAGGTGTTGGGGGGCACCAGGCTGAGCTTCCCTGGTGTTTTCTGTCTCGCAGGGGAAGATGCTTGGGGTATCGCTTGGGGGCTTTGCCTTTCTGCAATCCTGGGAAGCTGGGGCATGAGGGAGCTGCTGCCTCAGGGCTCCTGTCTGCCTGCTAGCTGGGAGATGTGTGTGAACGCGTGGGTGGAGCGTGGCAGGGCTCTGCTGCCTGACTTGCACCGTTGGGCAGGCCGGGGGGGATGCGCTGACATGTGCCATCACCCTTCTTGTTAGCCGAGCAGCGAGCAGGGGGTTTCACCTGGCCGGTCTTACCACTTTCCTTTTCCTCCCACAGACCTTTGAAAGTGGAACGAGGCCGGAAGAAATCTGACCTGATCCCCGAAAGGAGGATGGAGAAAAAAAAGGGTGAGAGTGTCGTTGCTTGCCATGGCAGAAGGGAGGAGAGGAGGAGAAGGGATCCGGAGTTGGTTCCCCCATCCCAGGAAGGGGAAGGATCTTTCCCAAAGGGATCAGTGTGATTGTGCTGGGGCCCTTCCCAGCAAAAAAAATCGTGTTGGGATGTATTTACGGGGCGTGCAGAGACAGTGAGTTTCCCTATATGCATCCCCTGATCTTGGCAGAGCCCAACCCTTCCTCTTCAGAGAGGCCCCTGGGGCTGTGTTTGACCTCGGAGATGCAGGAGGAAACCAAACCCTTGCTGGGGGAGAGGTCCTGGGCTCTGGGCAGTGCTGTGCTCTCCTCTGGTGGTCTGATGCCTTGGCATCTCTCTCTTGTTGCTCCAGAGCCCACAGTAGAAGAGAAACTTCAGAAACTTCACAGCGAGGTCAAATTTGCCCTGAAGGTGGATAACCCGGTGAGTGCCCGAGAGCCTTGGCCTGGCCCGAGAGGTCCCTGCTCATCGTGTCCTTGGCCACCGCGTGAGCCTTGCTGGGGGTGCTCAGCCTGGCTCAGCCTCCTCTTGCCTTTCTGGATGCTGGGTGGCCTGAGGGGACCGTGCTCCACGCAGCACTGCCCCAGATGCCCACAGGGAGACTTTCCAGGCAGCTTCTGATCTTGGTGCCATCCTTGCAGGACATCAAGCGGTGTCTGAATGCACTAGAGGAGCTGGGCACGCTCCAGGTCACCTCTCACATCCTCCAGAAGCACACCGACGTGGTGGCTACGCTGAAAAAGGTAGGGCAGAGGACTGAGTCCCTCCCTGCAGGGAGCAAGGAGCCTGCTTGGGGCTCCCCCAGCTCTAAGGGCGTCCCCCTCCCTCTTTCTGGTGCAGATCCGTCGCTATAAAGCAAACAAGGACGTGATGGAGAAAGCTGCCGAAGTCTACACCCGGTTGAAGTCGCGCGTCCTGGGACCAAAGATGGAGGCGATCCAGAAAGCCAACAAAGCCGGGCCTGAGAAGGACAAGGGGGAGGCGGAGAAGGGCCAGGAGAAGCTGTCGGCAGGGGAGACACGGAATGAGAAGGGGGAAGAGGAGACGAATGCTGGTAACGCTTCCCACACATCTCGGGGCGGTTCCCTGCTCTGTCCGGGCACGTAGCGATCCTGGGGCCCTTCTCAGGGCACATCCCGTCCTGCTGGGGAGCGGGGACACGAACAGAGGTGGCTCTTGGCCTCGGTGGTGGTGGGGAGCAGCAGCCACGCGTGGCACCCCCAGTCCCTTGTTTGCTGGAGTGCCAGGAGTGGGAAAGGACTGAATATCGAACGCTTGCGGCAGTGAGAGCAGAGGGCAAACCTCGACGCCCACGCCCTGGCTTTGGGTGCCTCTGGGCTGATTTTTGGCCCAGGATGGCTCCTCGCTGCCAGCTTGGGCACTGGTCCAAGGCACCGGGGAGACGGAGGAATGTGGAGATGTCCTTGGATGCTGACTCAGGCTCTTGCGCAGGCAGCTGGTGACTGGGATCTTCCAGCCTCGTAGCCAGGTCCCTGCCTGGGGACGTCCTCGTGATGCTGCAAGAGCCTTCCCGGAGGAGCTGATGGGGAAAATCCACTCTGCCGCCTGCCTCTGGGCTTGGGGGCTGGGGTCTTTTGGCCCCCTTTTTGTAGCTATCGGCGTCAGGCCAGACTTGGGGTCCCGGCTGGGTGTCCCTTACCTGGATGAGGACAACCTGGGGCTGGGGGTCCTTAGCT